GAGTCATTCGTACAGCCTGGCCAGGGCTACCTTGATTGGTTTCACAGCAGGACTGTGAGACTAATCAGTGACCCTGCTAAGTACCCGGTGGTACAACAGGACGGAGGCTATCAGCCACTTGCCGAGCATTGGAAGTGCGATGTAAGTGTTTATAATTTGTGTGTGTGTGTGTGTGTGTGTTTTTCTTGTTCTATTATTATTTTATTTTTTGCGTTTCATAAAAATTACTTTGAATTAAATTTTCAGGCTAGCGGCATGGAGGGGGCTTATAACGTGTTATCCAATGTTGAGCATCTATATCATACAGCCCATCCGGAGATGCAGGCGGCAATCCAATATGCCAAGAGCCTTCTCTACACATCTCTGACTGTCGGAGGCGGAGAGATCGGTCAGGGGACGTCGTCAAGCCAAGTTTTATCACAAGAAAGCTACGTCCAACCCCAGAGGACGCAGTCACACCGAGCCAGGCATCAACCTCCTCCCCATATTCGTGGAGGTAGAAGACGACGTCACCGCGAACCAGTTGCCGACGCCGGGCCTGAGGAACAACAAGAAGAAGGTAAACATCTTTTAGTTAACAAAAATATAATTTTATTTATGTTTTGTGATTTTTGTTAAATCACATTTCTAATTTCTTAAAAAACTTAATTACTCAGCTCAAGAAGAAGAACAAGAACCTACCACACCCACAGCATCGTCTTCTGCACAACCACCACAGCGTCGGATTAGCAACCGACCGCGCAACCCTACCAATCGATACACTCCTAGTTAGGAGACAATTTGTAGACATATATATTTATTTTTTTCTTTCGTGGATTTATGTGTAATGATATTTGAACTTGTTTGGAATTTTATATTTGGAAAGTGAATTATTGTGCTTCATTATTGTTTCTTTGACATGGTTGATATGGGTTTTGTGAATTTATATTTGGTTGTGGAATCGATCTCGATTAACAGGTGTGTTTTTGTAATTTTGTTTCTGTGAATTGCTGTTTTTGCACAGTAAAACGTATTTTCAAAATAAGTTTTTGTACTGTGTAAAATTAGGTCAAAATCGATTTGGGGATAAAATTAGGGCGCAATCAATTTGGGGCAAAATTAGGTTGAAAAACGTATTTTCAAAATACGTTTTGTGTTTGTGTAAAATTAGGTCAAAATCGATTTGGGGATAAAATTAGGGCGCAATCAATTTGGGGATAAAATTAGGTTGAAAAACGTATTTTCAAAATACGTTTTTTGTCTGTGTAAAATTAGGTCAAAATCGATTTGGGGATAAAATTAGGGAGCAATCAATTTGGGGCAAAATTATGTTGAAAAACGTATTTTGAAAATACGTTTTAATTTTGCAAATATTATTTTCCAAAAAAATAAGTTTTTTAAAATCAAAAATATTAATTTTAAATATTTTAACCGAAAACGTATTCCCTGAATACGTTTTTAGCTATTTTAATTAATTTAATTACGTTAATCACCTTAATTAATTGTTTCTAATGAATACGTATTATTAGAATACGTTTTTTTTTTAAAACGTATTTTAGGAATACGTTTTTATTTAAAAAACGTATTCTGGGAATACGTGCTTTTGATATTTTTCCACTTGTTTTATTTTGTTTTTATTTATGTCCACTTAATTTTTTTTATTTTTATATAAATAAATAAATCCATCTTATTTGGTACGCTGACCTATGAACTAAATGAAATCCGATTATATTGGTAAATAACAGACTACTTTCACGGTTTCACTCAATCCTCAAACTATCTGTCAATTTTCATTTCGTTTTCTTCTCTATTTTCAACACTCCAGCTTTGTCGTGCCTTGTGGGAGGAAGCAATGGATCGCGCGAACTCCGGCAGCCCCAGCTCCGCCACCTGCGACGACGTTCGAGGGGTACGCTAACCTTCTTTCACACCTTCCAATGAACAATAAATGCAGCCTTTATTATGTTTGATCGAGTCGTAATTTATGAGATCGTTTTAGGTTATAGTTCAATGCTTAATCTGAAAGATTCAATACCACTGCTTCTTAAATCCTCTTCAATTACCTTCTTTTAGCTTTTTATAGATTTTTACTTTGGCACTGCTTTACTCTGTTTATGGTTTTAGATTGACCCTGCAATGACTTACGAATTTGATTTTGCACGCAAGTTGAGTTAATAAAAGTGAATACCTGGGTTTTGATGTTAAGTAACTTTATTCTCCCCAGCTGCAAGGTATGGAAATTTAGGGTTTGTATCGAAAAAAATAAATAAATAAAAATTGAGAAGTAATTCCGAGGCTAAACAATTCAGTATCTTATCTGGTAGAGGGTTTTATGCTTCTATCCTACCCAAAAGCTTATGTGTTTTATTTTCAGTAAACAAGTTTAGGCAGACAATGCGCATGTTTAATCATTTTTAAGGATGAAGGTTGTTTTTTGGTTGTAAACTACTCTTTGGTGGTTTAAAGCAATATCATTGATATTCCTTATCTCTATTTTCTGTTCTTCTTTTAACTGGGTTTTTATGAAACAATATTGTGATTATTTGTTTTCTGCCCCATGGAAACACATGTTGTGATTGAAGCTTGCTTATAACCAGCATATTTTCTTGTTTGCTTATTCCTTTTTGCTAAAAATGCAGGAAGATAATCAATGGGCACCTGTTAGTGAGGATCTTGAAACAAGTTGTTGGGGTTGCGGGCTTCGCGTACTTGTTTCTCCTTATGCATCTGTCTTTAAATGTGGATGGTGTGGAGCAATAACAAAGCAAAATGTGGTCAAAAGTGATGACAAATACATCCCTTTCAGAAAATTGCGTGATCGGTGTTTTGTTTGCATAGTCCTTCTATTTATGCTCTTCTTCATATGTAAGCACACATACCTGATTATTGTTGCTGAACTCTCTTGCTTGCACAACCCTGAATTTCCATGTGTGACTTTGTATGTTTTGTTCACTTCTTTCTTGTTTACTCCAAGCTCAATTGGTACTTGCTAAACCTATTGATAGCTCAAAGACAAACATGCAGAGTAGTTTTCCGTTGCCATGGATCTTTGACATGTTATGTTTTGCTTTTTATGGAGGGACAATTGAAGTCTCTCTTACATAATATTTGACCCCCCAACATTTTTTCTTCTCTTTTTGATGGAAATAAGATGATCTTTTGCAAATTAACATCCTCATATTTTAAATTTTCGTATCTGCTGTTTCAGTGCTGTTTCAGCACGCATTACACTGTCTTTCCCATTTATGCTGTCTCTAAACTTATGGTATTCTATCACTTCTTCTATTTAAGCATCGAAGATGTTGATTTTATCTGAAAATTTTATTTCATTTGTTGTTAACTGGAAGGCATAATTTTATAAAGGAATAATTTTTGGCCATGTGTTGCAGTGATCTTAAGTTTTATGATGCTAGCTGGGAAGGATGAGTTTATCAGAAGAAAGAACTAGTTCGTGTATTCATAAATATTCTTGACAGTCGGTGCTAAATTTGTCAGACTTGATTTCTCTAGTTGCAGTACTTACATTTGTTTTATCTATACCAGTCATATACATGATCTTGATTTGATGTTTCTTATATTATGTCATGTTTTTTATGCAGGTACTGCTATTTGGGCTGTGTACCCTGTACTATTCTCTATTAGTTACCTCAATGGTGTTTTCCATGCCACAATAGCAGTAACACTGTCTTTGTGTACATTATCTTTATTTTGCCTTGCGGCATTTCAACCTGCGGGTCTGCCACCACTGATACTGTGGGGTAGCTATCCCACAGTGGGGAAAGGTGGGCTCGAGAACTTTACTTTCTGCCACTATTGCTCAAAGCCAAAATCTCCCAGGTCCCACCACTGCCGTTCGTGTGGGGTGTGCGTATTGGACATGGATCATCACTGCCCTTTCGTAAGTCCTGAACACATTATCTGCTGAGACAGCAGTTGTTTTATTTGATTTGGGGATAATTACAAACACTACATTGACGTTTCAGCTGGATTTTTTTTTTTTTTTTTTTAAAAAAAAATAAAAAAAAAAAATAAATAAAAAAAATAAAAATACAGAGTGTCCCTTGAGGTTTAGCTATCTCAAATTTGTCCCAACTGTTAGTTGTGGCCAGATGGAGTTTGCTGATACATCCAATATTTTAGTTACACCCTAGCTGTTCAGAGTATTGCAGATGGCCCGACTTTTTGTTAGGATATTTGTAGTATTTAAAGTGCTCCAAAAACTTAGGGTTATTTCTAATAATGATGTAATCCTAACAAACTTTGGTGAATTCTAAGGATTGGCATGAGCCCCACTGATGGCAAGTGTTGAAGTAAGAAGAACATAGCATCAAAGATGTTTTTGGGAACTTCCGAGCTTTTTTTTTTGATAAAAATATAATAACAAAAACATTTGCCTAACCTCAATGATAGTTTATCTAATCATCCCTTCACTGTATGAAAAACTCGATTGACAAATATAACCATCAATTTCCTCGAACTCAATGCAGATCGGGAACTGCGTGGGCTCAGCGAATCATCGGGTTTTTATCCTCTTCCTCATATCAACGGTCATCGGCACAATCTATGTCGCCATCATGACCTCATTCTCCGCTCTCCAAATTTGGCCACCTCTTGACCGTGGGCTCGCCAGCAAATTCAATGGGTTAATTACTTCAGAGCTGATGTTTGGGGTTTTAAGAGAGAAATTCCTCTCTTTCTTGAGGTCGGCTGTGTTTTTACCTGTGAGAGGGCTTATTCTCATTTACCTGTTTATCGCTAGTGTTTCAGTGGGCATTGGTTTGAGTGTGCTCTTGTGGCAGCAGCTTAGTTACATATACGTCGGGAAGACATATTTGAGTCATCTAAGTGCAGTGGACAGTGAGGAGATTTTGGAAAGGGATTGCCAAAATCTCGTGAGATTTTTTGGTTGTCCGTATAATGCCACTGTGTATTTACCCAGTTATTGGAGATCGAGCAAGAGGCATAACAAGTGAAGATGAAGAGGTTGGATGTTTTTCTTCCTTTTGTTGATTTTTGTTTGTCAAATCTTGTCTTGGGCGTTGATGTTTGTTTTGTAGTACTTTGAGGTCCTGAGGTGAGATGTGATTTTGAATGAAAATGCATGCGTCTGTCTTCCTTCCGACATTTAATATTTTCCGTTTCTTACCTACGACATGTCATGACACTGATAGAGATGCCAAAAATAGGGTTGAAAAGCAATGGGTTGTCTACTCAAGGAAAGGGAAAGCTGGAAAGGAATAAATGAGATATGGGAATAAAATCAGCAATGCAATATGGGAAGCATGAATTAGGGGATTTAGATAGATTCCTGTAGAGAATGGAAAGCTATCAATTAGTTATCTTACCTTATAATTATTATCTATTACCTTATATGAATAATAGCAATAATCTTATTAAAGGGAGTTAGGAAGTGAGAAGGAGTCATCAGGAAGAAATAATCTTAATAGCTAGGCTATTGGGCAAGTTATCTTGCTGGGAAGTTTTATACTTCTGATCATTGTTCTCCCTTTCATTTATAATAAAGTTGTCTATTCATTCCCCTTTTTTTTTTATCTGATTCTCTGATCCTTTACTCCTATCAGACACCCAGGACTGACTGTTGTGTCTGCATAGAAATTTGAATATAGTGATGTGGAAAATTCTATAGAAAAACAAAATTGTTTTATGACTATGGTGCCGTTTAGATTGAAGTGTCGTCGCTGAATAATCAAGAGAAACTCTTTCTTTTATGCTCAGCTGTCGTTCACTAATTACAGATATTGGAGAATGTGAACCAGAACTCTTATCCATTTGCAAATTAATTGACTGATGAACATGATTCTGCAAAGCTTGCATTAGTTATTATTACAGTAATATAATTTGGCATATGATCAATTTCTAAACTGGTGAAAGTGATGTCTTGGTATTACACAGCCAGTGTTTAGGCCTATCAAATTAAAACCTTATATTGCTGATATAGTCATATGTTTCAATGAAGACTGATAATGCATCTGAATTGAAGACTCATAAGATTTCATCCAACTTATGCGCTATATAATCTTGATTCCCAATCATCTACTGTTTTAACCTGCTTTCTGGTATAATTTTTCAGGCCAGTGTCTCTTTACCGTTGCTCAAAGGGCCTCCTGCCTTCATCGTTCCTATGAGTTATTCCAACATAAAATATTGTGTTCGACTGAGCGACTGCAGGACTCGAGTTCCACTACTAACTTGTTTAATAGGATTGGGGAGGAGATTTTCATGTAGGCTGGATCCTTTTCCTTATTCTCCATAGATTTGAATGCTGGCTGTCACCGAAACAAATACTTGCTCTGGAATCTTGTAAGTCACTTAGTTCCCATTTGCTAAATGCCTTTATTTATAGTTTGCATTATGAGTGGAAAGGCTAGACAGGAAATGACTAAATATAGCATATAAATATGTTGTAGAGGGTTTTGTTCATTCACAGCTTGTAGAAGCAATCTTTTTTTTTATGTTACCTGCATCGTGCATGGATGCTTTTGGATGGGACCGGACTTGACTTTGTCGTGCTTTCGGTTTTGGGCTTTTACCTTACTCTGTAGATTTGGTGTGTTGTGCATGAAGTATATTTTCTCTTCCTCAATGGGACTAATTTGATTATCACACATCTTGAATTCTTCCTATTGCTCTTTCCGCCTTCTTATGGACCCGCCTAACGGTTAGACCGCCTCACACGTGATTTGACTATTTATTTTTGGTTCTTGAGGTGTTGGTTTTTGCACGCACTTGACTATCTGTCTATGACAATCTAATATATATTCCTCAATTTGTGCTAGAATGATGATATGGTAAAAAAATTGTCATCTTGGATCACAGAGTAATATGAAGGAAATAATATTTCAATTGTTAATGCAGAAAATGCTCACCTACAAAAAACTAACCAGCCATACGGATCTTAATCAAAAGATTTATCCTAACAGAAATTGCTCGAATTCACAGATTGCTGACACATAAAAAGACCCTTAAAAATAAAAAAATAAAAAATAAATGAAAGTTTCATTTAGCATACCAAGACATCCTTGGACTTGGAGGAGCTGTGCTCTCAAGCACAGGCTCAGTCCTAGTCGCCTTAGCCCGAGCCATTTTGCTGTCGCCAATCCAATTACTCTCAAGGCACTCCCCTTGATCATCCGACTCTTTCACCACCGCCCGATTTCTATTCTTCACAAATGTCCCTAAAGCCACCGTCCCCGCCAGCCCCACCGCCACAAGCCCTATAATCCCGGCCACTAACCCCATAACCCAAAACGGGCCATCCCGTTTTTCTTGCCTCTCGATAGGCACAACTACCGAGAAATGTCCCTCATCTTTTCCAAAACACACATCCTCACGCGAACCCATCCTAGTCAGTGACATTTTCCCTGACACACCGAAAAAAGCACAAAATCTCGTCTGGTTCTCGACAGCTGTCAAGTTATCGAACTCGACCCTAACGGGCTTTCCCCATGTGTTGTTGAGCCCGACCGTTGAGAAATTACCCCCACCGCTAAAATTCGATGCATCATACACCAAAAAACCCATGACTGGACTTATAAAAGAATACCCGTAAATGTTATAGTACGAAGAAGACCAGTTGCCGAGCTCATGGTATACTATGAGGACTCTCTTGACGCGGGCCGCGGGCCGGGTTTTGGGTGGGATTATAAAGTGGCTGAAAGTGGCTCCGCTTTTGTATAGAGTTCGGGTTCGGAGCCTCACGACCGAGACTTTCATGCCTGAAAGGTCTTTAGGGAGGGTGGTGTTGTAAAGTGCGCCCGTGACACGATGATGGTTGATCATGGACTTGAAAGCTTGCTCGTGAAAAGTAGCGTCTAGAGATTGGTCAAAGTTTGGGTCGAGGCATTTGGTCGGACACGAGAGTTGCAAGAATAGGATAAAGAACAAATGTATTGTGTGAAAATTTGAGATTTTGTTTCTCATATTCTATTGATCAAGTTTGAAGTTTTCTGTGTGCATGCAAGGGGAAGAAGTATTCGGAATGGTTAATTAAAGTTTCGGTTATTTTTTTTTACTCTCTCAATATTAGAGGGGGAAAAAAATGAAACAAATATACAATTATCATTTCATACCATGATGAGCTACACTTTGTGAAGGGTGTCATAGTTGAGTTAAATTAATGCTCGTGATATGAAAACTGAAAAGGTCCTAGTTTACTTTTGAAATTATACATGTACTCATTTTGTTTAACGTGGTCATGGTTTTGTATAGTTGTGGGGGCTTGCGTATTTTGATTTTTGAATAATGAAACAAAAGTTGAAAAGGAAATATATATATATATATATATATATATATATATATATATATATATATNTTGCTTCCGAACAACCCCGACAATGGGGCAAGTGTCTTCACTGGGCAGAATACTGGTACAATACTTCCTTTCAAGGAGCGGCTCAACGGACTCCCTTTGAGATTGTGTATGGCAGGACACCTCCAACCTTGCAACAATATTTACCTGGTGAGTTTCGGGTGGCAGCAGTGGCCGATGCTCACTCTGATCGCAATGAATTACTTAGTCAGCTTCGTTTCAATTTGGAGAAAGCTCAACATCGCATGACAAAAGTTGCAAACCGTACAAGGCGTGACGTTGAGTTTAATGTGGGTGATAGTGTCCTTCTCAAGCTTCGCCCTCACAAGCAAAACACTCTTCTCAACAGATTGAACCAAAAATTAGCCCCTCGATACTATGGTCCTTTCTTGATTATGCAAAAGTTGAGTGCAGTTGCTTACAAGCTTCAGCTTCCCTCTACCTCAAAGATTCATCCGGTCTTTCATATTTCACAACTTAAGCCGGTGAAAGGTCACCATCCTGTTATCCAGGATATCCCTGACGAGCTTCAAGTGGAGGAGGCCGGCTACCAACCATATGACATATTAGCGGTTCGTCAGTTACCCACAGCTACTGGTACCACACCACAAGTATTGGTCCAATGGGAGGGTCGCACCACTGATGACGCCACGTGGTTGGATCTCTCAGATTTCAAGGGGCAGTTTCCTAATTCTAGCCTTGTGGAAAAGGCTATTTCACTGGCGGGTGGTAATGATAGAGATGCCAAAAATAGGGTTGAAAAGCAATGGGTTGTCTACTCAAGGAAAGGGAAAGCTGGAAAGGAATAAATGAGATATGGGAATAAAATCAGCAATGCAATATGGGAAGCATGAATTAGGGGATTTAGATAGATTCCTGTAGAGAATGGAAAGCTATCAATTAGTTATCTTACCTTATAATTATTATCTATTACCTTATATGAATAATAGCAATAATCTTATTAAAGGGAGTTAGGAAGTGAGAAGGAGTCATCAGGAAGAAATAATCTTAATAGCTAGGCTATTGGGCAAGTTATCTTGCTGGGAAGTTTTATACTTCTGATCATTGTTCTCCCTTTCATTTATAATAAAGTTGTCTATTCATTCCCCTTTTTTAATTATCTGATTCTCTGATCCTTTACTCCTATCAGACACCCAGGACTGACTGTTGTGTCTGCATAGAAATTTGAATATAGTGATGTGGAAAATTCTATAGAAAAACAAAATTGTTTTATGACTATGGTGCCGTTTAGATTGAAGTGTCGTCGCTGAATAATCAAGAGAAACTCTTTCTTTTATGCTCAGCTGTCGTTCACTAATTACAGATATTGGAGAATGTGAACCAGAACTCTTATCCATTTGCAAATTAATTGACTGATGAACATGATTCTGCAAAGCTTGCATTAGTTATTATTACAGTAATATAATTTGGCATATGATCAATTTCTAAACTGGTGAAAGTGATGTCTTGGTATTACACAGCCAGTGTTTAGGCCTATCAAATTAAAACCTTATATTGCTGATATAGTCATATGTTTCAATGAAGACTGATAATGCATCTGAATTGAAGACTCATAAGATTTCATCCAACTTATGCGCTATATAATCTTGATTCCCAATCATCTACTGTTTTAACCTGCTTTCTGGTATAATTTTTCAGGCCAGTGTCTCTTTACCGTTGCTCAAAGGGCCTCCTGCCTTCATCGTTCCTATGAGTTATTCCAACATAAAATATTGTGTTCGACTGAGCGACTGCAGGACTCGAGTTCCACTACTAACTTGTTTAATAGGATTGGGGAGGAGATTTTCATGTAGGCTGGATCCTTTTCCTTATTCTCCATAGATTTGAATGCTGGCTGTCACCGAAACAAATACTTGCTCTGGAATCTTGTAAGTCACTTAGTTCCCATTTGCTAAATGCCTTTATTTATAGTTTGCATTATGAGTGGAAAGGCTAGACAGGAAATGACTAAATATAGCATATAAATATGTTGTAGAGGGTTTTGTTCATTCACAGCTTGTAGAAGCAATCTTTTTTTTTATGTTACCTGCATCGTGCATGGATGCTTTTGGATGGGACCGGACTTGACTTTGTCGTGCTTTCGGTTTTGGGCTTTTACCTTACTCTGTAGATTTGGTGTGTTGTGCATGAAGTATATTTTCTCTTCCTCAATGGGACTAATTTGATTATCACACATCTTGAATTCTTCCTATTGCTCTTTCCGCCTTCTTATGGACCCGCCTAACGGTTAGACCGCCTCACACGTGATTTGACTATTTATTTTTGGTTCTTGAGGTGTTGGTTTTTGCACGCACTTGACTATCTGTCTATGACAATCTAATATATATTCCTCAATTTGTGCTAGAATGATGATATGGTAAAAAAATTGTCATCTTGGATCACAGAGTAATATGAAGGAAATAATATTTCAATTGTTAATGCAGAAAATGCTCACCTACAAAAAACTAACCAGCCATACGGATCTTAATCAAAAGATTTATCCTAACAGAAATTGCTCGAATTCACAGATTGCTGACACATAAAAAGACCCTTAAAAATAAAAAAATAAAAAATAAATGAAAGTTTCATTTAGCATACCAAGACATCCTTGGACTTGGAGGAGCTGTGCTCTCAAGCACAGGCTCAGTCCTAGTCGCCTTAGCCCGAGCCATTTTGCTGTCGCCAATCCAATTACTCTCAAGGCACTCCCCTTGATCATCCGACTCTTTCACCACCGCCCGATTTCTATTCTTCACAAATGTCCCTAAAGCCACCGTCCCCGCCAGCCCCACCGCCACAAGCCCTATAATCCCGGCCACTAACCCCATAACCCAAAACGGGCCATCCCGTTTTTCTTGCCTCTCGATAGGCACAACTACCGAGAAATGTCCCTCATCTTTTCCAAAACACACATCCTCACGCGAACCCATCCTAGTCAGTGACATTTTCCCTGACACACCGAAAAAAGCACAAAATCTCGTCTGGTTCTCGACAGCTGTCAAGTTATCGAACTCGACCCTAACGGGCTTTCCCCATGTGTTGTTGAGCCCGACCGTTGAGAAATTACCCCCACCGCTAAAATTCGATGCATCATACACCAAAAAACCCATGACTGGACTTATAAAAGAATACCCGTAAATGTTATAGTACGAAGAAGACCAGTTGCCGAGCTCATGGTATACTATGAGGACTCTCTTGACGCGGGCCGCGGGCCGGGTTTTGGGTGGGATTATAAAGTGGCTGAAAGTGGCTCCGCTTTTGTATAGAGTTCGGGTTCGGAGCCTCACGACCGAGACTTTCATGCCTGAAAGGTCTTTAGGGAGGGTGGTGTTGTAAAGTGCGCCCGTGACACGATGATGGTTGATCATGGACTTGAAAGCTTGCTCGTGAAAAGTAGCGTCTAGAGATTGGTCAAAGTTTGGGTCGAGGCATTTGGTCGGACACGAGAGTTGCAAGAATAGGATAAAGAACAAATGTATTGTGTGAAAATTTGAGATTTTGTTTCTCATATTCTATTGATCAAGTTTGAAGTTTTCTGTGTGCATGCAAGGGGAAGAAGTATTCGGAATGGTTAATTAAAGTTTCGGTTATTTTTTTTTACTCTCTCAATATTAGAGGGGGAAAAAAATGAAACAAATATACAATTATCATTTCATACCATGATGAGCTACACTTTGTGAAGGGTGTCATAGTTGAGTTAAATTAATGCTCGTGATATGAAAACTGAAAAGGTCCTAGTTTACTTTTGAAATTATACATGTACTCATTTTGTTTAACGTGGTCATGGTTTTGTATAGTTGTGGGGGCTTGCGTATTTTGATTTTTGAATAATGAAACAAAAGTTGAAAAGGAAATATATATATATATATATATATATATATATATATATATATATATATCTATATCTATATCTATCTATCTATCTATATCTATACTACTCTAAAAGAACGAGTATTTTTGTAAAAATATGAACTACCTAAAATAACTTTACTTTGACATATTTTTAATGACAAATTAGTAATACACTTATACATATTTAATTTTATATTTTTAATTAAAAAATAAATTACCTAAAAAACCCTTACTTTAACATGTTTTTATGGCAAATACCTAAAATAACCTTACTTTGACATATTTTTAATGTCAAATTAGTAATACACTTATACATATTTTATTTTATATTTTTAGTTAAAAAATGAATTACCTAAAAAACCCTTACTTTAACATGTTTTTTATGGCAAATTAGTAATACACTAATATCCATCATATCTTATATTTTTAATTAATAACTAATGCTTAATTAATTAAATACAAATACATGAACAATACATTTCACATTTCCTAAAAATCAAACACAATATTCTCGCACCATTATTTCTCGCGAAATGGCTTTCTTCCACATATCTCCCAAAAATCAACCCAACATCAACCTAAACAACAAAGTTTTGAAAAGATATAGAATTGTTGTGTTAAAAAAAATCATTGTTTTTAATATAATTTTATATATTATCTGACAAACTAGAAAAGTTGAACAATTCATTTAGCTACTTTATTATTTAAGAAAAATAAACTCTTATATTTAGAATTAGAATAGAAATTACACTTTAGTCTTACTGGATTAAATTTTGATCCCACAAAAATCGTCATTTGCTTGTTTGTTTGCTTTTTTCCAATTTTAGTACAAAGTGAATAAAATTAACGAATTTTCACTTGACCATTAGATGGTTAATATCAAGGTGAGTAATATTTTAATTATTAGTACTTAAAATATATGAATTTTATATTCAAGAATTAAGTAAAATATATAATGAGATTTTAATTATTATTATTTTATTTGAGCCACTGATTTTCAAGATCTGTGCTAAATAAAAGAACAATATGAAAGTCAAATAATTTGAAATATAATGAATAACATTAAAAATATAATTATGTTGTAAGACTTAATAATAAATATGAAAACAAATAATAAATTAAAATTTTATAATTAATAAAAGTAAATATAAAACTTTTAAAACGTATACTTATCGATGTAATAAATCGAATTGTTTATTTCATTTTAATTTTATGTGCTTAATAGTTCTATGTGTAACTTTTAGGTGATAGATAATAGTTATTTGTACTTTTATCCATGTAGATTGGAAATTTTAATATTTAGAAAAATGATTATTTTAACTGTAAATAACTTTTTATTTGCTATTAGTTTTTTTAATATAATATAAAAATATCATATTAAATTATAAAATAATAATTATTTTTACTTGACCATTAGATGGTTAATATCAAGGTGAGTAATATTTTAATTATTAACACTTAAAATATATGAATTTTACATTCAATAATTAAGTAAAATATATCATGAGATTTTAATTATTATTATTTTATTTGAGCCACTGATTTTCAAGATGTGTGCTAAATAAAAGAACAATATGAAAGTAAAAACATATTAAATATGATGAATAACATTAAAAATATAATTAAGTTGTAAGACTTACTAATAAATATGAAAACAAATAATAAATAAAAATTTTATAATTAATAAAAGTAAATATAAAACTTTTAAAACTTATACTTATCGATGTAAATAAATCGAATTGTTTATTTCTTTTTAATTTGTTGTGCTTATTAGTTCTATGTGTAACTTTTAAATTTCAATATTTAAAAAAATGATTATTTTAATTTTCAATATCTTTTTATTTGCTATTAGTTTTTTAATATAATATATAAATATCATATTACAATATACAATAATAATTATTTTGGTTAATTTATACGTAAAAGGTTGTAATTCAATTGAAAAATTAACAGGTTATAATGGGTTAAAATAACGAGTGATTTCTAAAAAGTTATATGGACTAAAAAGTTCATGTGTTTAATATATTTTTAATAAAAAAATCGTTTAGCTACTTTCTAAAAATTTTTTAATATAATTTTATACATTCTCTGACAAACTAGAAAAGTTGAACAATTCGATTAGCTACTTTATTATTTAAGAAAAATAAAAAACTACAACAAAATTTTAATGTTTAAAAGGAAATGCAAAAAATAAAATGTTATATTGTAACGAAAAATCCAACGATAAGGTGTTCCACTATAATTACTATAATTTATTATTGTTTGAATTTCTGTTGAACTTTTTTACCGATCATATTTCGACCGTTGAAAAAACTGTCATTGAAATTGTAAAAAAATTAATAGAAATTCCATTGGAAAACTAATTGCAGTGGCGGATCCAAAATAATTTTATATTGGGAACATGATATATAAAAAAAATCTAACGATAAGGTGTTCCACTAAATGAATAAACTGGTCTCAACTGTTGGGTCGTAATTTTGAGATTTATTATATTTTCTTTAGTTGTGATGCCGCGTTTATGTTATAACATTAATAAAGTTATGAGTTGAATTAAATTATAATTCATTGAGTTGTAAATTAAGTCATTATGTATCTTTCTTTCTTTTAATTTCATTTTTAAAATAGGAGACATGATAAAAAATATGAAAAAATGTTCCCACAATTTTTATTAGATTTCTTACACTATATGCTTTGGGATGGAGGGCTGTGCCGGACCTATAAATAAACATAGATCTGCTCATGATTCCAATAAAATATTTTTTTCTAGAATTATATTGTAAAATTCAAACGAGAGTAATAACATTAAATTTTATTCTTATGTGATTATATTAGTTGTTGCCTAATAAATAAGATATTTTGATAACAACGTCATTATATGAAACACGTACAAAATATTATGCAATACATATAAATGTGCTATAATTCTTTTAATAAATAAAGTATTATTTATCAATAGAATAAAAAACTAATAAAATAATAGTAATGCAATTGAAAAAAGAAAACGTCTGAATTTCCTTAGACAAGTATGAATACCAATATTTAGAAACAAAAAGTCTTTTAAGAATAATATTTTTTTTGTTGCTAGAGTTTAAATATATGGACTCTCTAAGAAATTGGATCTCATAAATATTGATCCTATATTATCAATTTTTAATTTTAATTAATTAAAAATTTAAAACATTATAATACATAATGTAGATTTTAATAATGATTTCGTAATAATAAAGTTCAAAGATGACTAAGAGTCATAAAATAGAATTCCAATTCTTCTTATCTCAAATATTTTAACAAATGATATGCTTCTCAATGTTGTCTCATTGTTTTATTTTGTTTGGTTTTGTCATTGGTGAAGAATCAAAAAATGATTTTTATTTTGAGTTTTCTGAGCATTATGCATGATGCATAAAGTTGGACGATAAAAACATTAAAAAGGTTATTGGACACATAAATGTTACAAATCCAAACGATTGTGAAAGATATTAAGATAAATAATTCTAAAATCATTGCAAGAACTAGATGGTCAATGATTTGCAAACAATAGATTATATAGTTCGTCTATCTTGCAAATAAATGACATTGAAAATGAAACGTTGGAGCCTGATCAAAACATTTTTGAATGTTTGAATGAAGTTGACACTTCTTATAGGAATATTTATAATTTCATTGGTATATTGTGCTTGACATATGTGCAATTATTTTAGAGTATGTACTTTTAGGTAATATGTGATGATTTAAAAAAATAATCTCGGGAAAAGTACATGTAATAGAGATTTTGAAAGTCAACTTTTATTTGGAGATGAAATTCATTCCCATCCATAGGGCGATACATCCACGGGGTAGGTATCAATATAGAGAGAGAGTAATATAGTAGTTTATACAATGATAAAAAATAATCAACAATTTTAATGACACGATTGGTTATTTTACAGAGATATTCATGCATTGTTAGTAGAAATATAAAGATAATACAACCACGAAGTTTCACTATATGTTTGATCGTTATTGAATTATCTAACATAAACAAATAAAAGAACTAATACATGTAAAATATATATTAGTCATTATTTAGTTATTTAGTGTTTTTGTTGGGGTTGTAATATGTTATTTAATTCTTTTTATATTAAGACATCGTTAAGTTATTTTGGAAAAAACAAATTGTTCTACATTTTGTGTCATTAATTTAATCTACATTTTGTTTCATTCTTGCAAAGATATATTTAATAAATTAATTTATTTATTTTACAAAACTTAATCGACAAAAAACAATTACATTATGAGCTCATTTGTTCTACAGTTTATTTCGTTCTTGCAATGATATTCGTAATAAATTAATTAATTTATTTTATTAGACTTAACTGACAAAAACATTCACCACCACGTGCATCGCACGTGCACTTTACTAGTTTAAAAAAAATTTATACATACATAGTAGAAAACGAGTTTTCTATTAGTATTATTTTTTGTGCTAAATTAGTCAAGTATGTGACCTATCATGTTACACTTCCAATCAAGTATACAAGTATTCATGCTACCCTATTTTCACCTCAACTTATGGTTGAATCTATGTATGCAATGAATGAGTTATTTCTTGAAAGTTTTCCAACTCGAGCACTAAACGTTATTCGCATCATGAAAGAGTGAAACTGTTGGAGTTAAAGTGCATCACGCGTCAATTGCTTTTGCGCATCTTTTGGGCCACCAAGTTTTGGACTTCATCATGGAGACATTGAAGAATAACAGTACTATTTATTTGTTTGTTTGGTTATTTTATTTCTTGTCAAGAAAGAAGGCATAATTTGCTATCGAACTTTGTCAACTCGTGAATTTTAACCTGATTGGGTATTTGGAGGGCTTGAACTTGATAACTCGTGAATTATACCTTGTTGTTTATTTATTTTTTTTAGTATTCATGGGATTGGATGAGAAAAGGTAGATAACAAAAACCAAACCAAACAGAAAAATCAAGGGAATTTGAGCCTTGATCAAATGCCCTTTTAAACAGATGAGAGGATACTACTTCAACTGTATGCCTGGTCTGTTAAAAACTTAAAATCGATTNCTTAACTTGTAAATATAATAAGATTTCAAATAATTTTATTTCGTTTGAATAAGGGCTATGTATGGGTAAATCCCTAATTTTAAGTTCATTTTCCCAATCAATCTCTAGAGATAATTTTTTCAATTCAACTCCCTAGTCAACAAATAAATGGTCCCCTCTAAGTTAAAATTATATTTCTGTCCTTATACCTATTTGTTAAAAAAAAATAATTGTTTTCATTCACCATAGTATTTGTTTCTTTTAAAATAGTACCTTAAGTTAAAAATTTTCATGCAGTAACCGATGTCTATCTATCTTGTACTTGATGAAATCATCTTCGGCTCAACCTCTACGACTATGGTCAACCACTTCATGCAGCTCATTTCCTCCGAACTTGAGATGAGCCTTGTCGCCTTGTCGGTGAACTTGCACACTCCTCGGACTTCAGGTAAAGCAACGTAATGATGATATTTTCTCCATCAAAGTAAGTATGCTAAGAATTTGGTTACGAAATTTGGTCTTGAGTCTCCGACTTCTATGGAAACTCATACAAAACTCTCTAAAGATGATGAAGGTACATCCGTTGATCAAATCTTTACTGAAACATGATAGGTAATTTGTTATATCTTACAATTAGTAGACCTGATATTTGTTTTAGTGTAGGTTTGTGTGCTAGGTACCAGTCTAATCTCAAATGATCGCTCTTAAAGGTCTTCAAGCATATCATTAAGTATGTTGGTAGTACATCTGATTATGGAATTTGTTATTCTTTTGACACAAGTTTGAGTCTTGCAGGTTATTGCGACCCCAATTGGGTGGAGAATCTTGATGATAAGAAAAGTACTTCCTGATGATGTTTCTTCATCAGTATGAATCATCTCTTGGTTCTGTTAAATGCAACATCACATCTCTTTGTCGACTACCGATGCCAAGTTCATAGTTGTTGGGAGTTGTTGCTCCCAACTTGTGTGGATGAAAAGTTCTTCTTAAATACAGGATGAATGTACATTCTAGACAATTGTTTTATGATATCACCAGTGCCATAAACATATCCAAAAACCCTGTTCGACATTCACGCACTATACATATTCATGGGTGGATTTAAATAGGAGCCTGTAGGGGTAAAGGCCCCTGTGCAATTTTTAAAAATATTTTGTATATATACACACATAATTACACTTTTGGATATTTATTTTATGTACAATAATATTATTATAATAAGAATATAATTTAAAGTTATATATCATAATTTTAAATATATGATGGTTGAAGATCAATCAATCCGACTAAATGTGTTAACGTGTTTATATTTAACACAAATTCTTATGTAAGTCAGTCTAAGCGTTACGCGAATTGATTTGACATACTTTTAAAACAAAAATGCCTACTTGAGACATTTTCTAACAAATATATATATATATTTGTTAAAATGTATGTCGGCAAAATGTATTGTCTAACAGGAACAACCCCGTAGTTAAATCTTTAGAGTTTTCGTAACTCCACCTTCTATCCCAGTCTTAAAAAAGAAAATAAATTAAAAGATAAAAACTCATTATTATTCATTTAGATAAAAATATTAAATTGTGTCCCCGTGTTTGTGAAGCTTGCGTCCCCCCTGCACATATTGACATTCCATATCCTTTTATCCAAAATAACATATTGACATTCGATATTCTTTTATCCAAAATTTAGTTGATGATGGAATCATAGTTTTGGATCATGTACCTACACTAGATTAGTTCACAATATTTTCACAAAACCATTGAACTCTCAACATTTTATATCTTTAAATAAATCGTTAGAGATGTGCATTCTATAATTTGCTTAGGCATTACATTATCTTATATTATATTATATATGTATAAACACAAACCATAATGCATATTCAAAACTTACCGTCTCAAATATCAACAATGTGGTAAAAACAATAACATGACAAGCCGATAATATAGTAACATCCACCATACACTCCATACCCCTAGCCTCAATATTCACAAAACCACCCGCACAAAAAAGGAACCAAAAAAGGGGAAAAAAAAAATCCTTTATTTTCGAGAAGCAACAGCCGATTTTGCGCTCGACCGTGACCTTTGCTGACCCCTCGCTCGAGCTTCAAATAGCTTCGCCTTCAAACTGCCCTGCTTCAAAGATGTCCCCACACCATTGCTCTCAACTTCATCACCAGATGGCAGCTTCTCTCCCCACTGCCGCACGGGGCTCACCAGATGATTCTTCTCAACACCTCTTTCCTTCTCAGACAACAAATAGTGGTTCCGTATCAAGTTTTCGATCACATAGTTCGACTTCACCCTGCCACCTGTCCTCTCCGCACTATTTTCCTTAGCCAGTTTTCCCTTTTCAGGCCCGCTAGCCCGTTCACCCTCCAAAACCTCAGCCCGGCCCACAACCTTGCTATTTTCCATGTTCTTTCCTTGAACATTTTGTTGCTCGCTCGTTTTCTCAAGTTCAAAACAGTTAGAGTCACCACTCATGGACCCATTCTCTTCATCCTCATCTTCGTCCTCACGAGGAGCACTAACGATAGTATTAAGAGGTATCGACTCAAGAGAGCTTCTTCTTAAAGCTGTGGTAAGATTAGTACTGCCGCCGTCTTTTCTTTTCTTTGCATTTAAAAAAGCTTCGATTTCGGGTCTCAGTTTTTCGACAACCGACTTAAAATCACTCCCTGTTTGCATTTTTTCTTGCATGCGCTCGTCAAGCCAAGATTCAGAAACATGCAGAATCAACTGTTCACGATCAGCTCTTTCCACCCAATCACCATCTGTTTTCTGCCTCAGAGCATGCAATTCCTTTTCGTAATCCCGAATCCCGAAAGCAAACTCGTCACAGAGGCTTTCAAGCACCCCGCGCGCGCTCTTCTCATCCTCGAGCTCTTTAGACACTTTGCCGAGAGTCGTTTTGACGTCGTGAAGCTCTCTGGCTAACTTTCTGTGGAGGGTTTCGGATCTTTTTCTCAATTTCTTTTCGTCTTCTAATTCGTCTCTCAAGGACTGGACAGCAGTGTTGATCCTCTCCTGCTCCTTGTTTTTCCGTATCAATTTTTCTTGTGCGATTTGTTTCATGAGCTCGTCCATTTCGTGTCTGTCTGCTTGCTGTTCCTGAACGAGTGCTTTGATTTGGGATCGGGATTGGAGAAGTTCTTTCTTTAGGGCCTTGACAAGGGATATGTTGGACACATGTTGTTCTTCGAGTGTCCAGATGCGGTTTAGCACTTTGAGGAGCTCGGTGGATGTTCGTAGGCTGTAGCTCGTCTCTCCAGTTCGGGATTTTAGGTCGATTGAGCTTGTGGGGGTGACTGCTGGGTTATAAGGAGCAATCTGTAAGGAAAAAATAAAATAAAATAAATTATCAATTTATTATAAGAGTAATCTTAAAGGAACCATAGATATCAACAGATTAGTAAGGTCTCAAAAACATGTTCCACGAAAATAAACTTAGGAATTGGATGTTGCATTATTACTAAATTTGGTCTAAACTGAATGCAATTTGGACATGCAAAGGGAACTGTAAGATGTGATGGAAATGAAAGAAGGCTCTGTTTGTACACTTGACTAGTTGGATCAGGATTATTGGATTCTGTGATTTTAATATGTAGAGACTTAAGGGGTGGCAGTTGCTGCCAAATTCATTTTAAATATAATGATCCTATCAATGAAGTTTAAAAGAACAAAAAGGCCAGAGTTCGGTAATAAATGTTTACATCCATATTATAACATGAAACCTCAAATAAAATTCAGAAAATCGGTAAGGTGAATAGGTGAATTGGTTTTACTTTACCTCCATAGAACTACCATAACTAGCAGGTGACACGGGCTGCATAGCATGAATTCCGCTCTCGCCTGTCCTATGATGCTGCATTAGTGTTGCAACCACGTGCCGCCTCAAACTGCTAGAACTTCCAGGCTGTTTTTATAAATCATGAAAAAAGAAGTGAGCAAAAACGAAGAAGGGGCAATAACATTGGCTTGCAGCCTGTGACCTTAATGGAAAAATAAAGAGGCAATGTAAAACCATCATGTGATCTAAAAGCATCTGCACAAAAACAGAATATTTCTTACCGCGTCCCATGTGCCGTGAGTCATTACCTATTGTACAGAAATAGGTAAACACTAAAACTGTATCAAGAAAATGGATACTGATTGGATTATTGCAGCAAAGCTCCTTATTAGTTAGGAACAAAGGAATGTGGAAACAATGATGATTAAAGGTCAAATGTTTTTGTTTTCTTTTACACACCGTAACATGATATCAGAACACCCCAAATTAACAGCTTCAACATTTTTTTTTTCTAGTAAAACTGTCATAATTTCATTACAGCACAATTTGAATCATAGTGTTACATGAAGAATAAAGATAATACAAATTGCATTACAAAACATACTGTCTACAGCTCCCACATTGATTTGAGGTTGCTGAATATAATCAGACAACAAATTCTTGTCATTTTAACAGCTTCAACATAACCCATATATTGTACAGCTAAATATAAATAGCTAATGAATGCAGAGGGCAAAACCAATCAGATCCAATAAGTAGACATAAATCCTTTGTACTCTGTTAGATTATGTCTTTATGCAAGAGTGATAAAGTTCCCCTCTTTATTGCCTGACCAAAATAACAAAACCAACAAACTGGCACCACCAAAATCCTGACAAATTCCACCACCACTCCACATGCAGTCATCAAGATTTCATTTTAAACCAACCCCTCACCATAAAAATCAAAACTTTGACCTAAAGCACGCTCATTAACAACAATTATTAAACAACTAATCAATTAAATAAGTTCGATCAAGATTTTCTCAACATAAAAAATAAATAAAATCTTTTTTAGAGAATAAAGAGCCTGAAATTTATACCAGGTCCGGCGAACTAGGCGAAGGATCGAGCGGCCGTTCAGCGCCGCCTTTGTCCTTACAATCCGGCTGCTGGTGGTAGTTGAGGCGGCGGACCCGCCCACCCCTGCCGTGGTGCATTTTAGCAAGAAACCTCTTGTAATGATGGAGCTCCCAGAGTGCGGCGGCAAGTTTTCTTGCAGAAACACGGGGAGCCTGAAAAGGGGCGTCTTTAGTGTAATAATCTCTTTTGGTGCCACAATCTTGTTGAAATTTCTCAGCCGACGCCAAAAGCTCCAACTCTAGCGGTCTCCAAAAAGAGGCTACTGGGGTTTGCTGTCCGCCCCTTTTCCCCACCCGCCTCAACTTTTCCCCTAAATTCGCTCGCTTTTCTGCTGGCGCTTCCCTACTTCTGTCTACTATACTCATTTCTAATCACTTTCTCTTTCTATTAAACAACTATAGATGGGAAAAATAAAATGGTTTCTTGTTCACTTTTTCTTACTTTCACACTGGCTTGCCGTGCCCATCTTGATTTACTTGCTGCTGGGTTCTGCTCCTGCAGTGCAGTGACTGTAGACTATTCTTGTACTTTCCCGTCCATTTTAGTATTTTGACAAAGGTGGTTCTATTTTTTTCGTCTATTTTATGAGTGCGCAAGCGACTAAAATCATTAGTGTTGGCCGTTGGGGGATGGGCTAATACAAGCTTAGGCGTACGTTGTGGACCTTTGTCGATGGGGACAATTTGTATAGGGAGGGGATTGGATGTTTTTATGGAGGGTTGGTCAAACTCGAACGAAATTGGATAATACTGACCCAAAAGTTGATGTGTACTAACTTCGAAGGTCACCTCATTTTTTTCTAAAAACCAACATCATAAAATATAGCAATATTTTATAAATTTATATGAGAAATTTGCATATATGATTTTTTATTACATATATGAAACCAAATCATAAATAATAGCAATTCAACTAGTTGAGCCCTTTTTATTTGCAAAACTACCAATATCAATAAAATCATTAAGTTACATTTGTAATCAATTTTTAGAGTAATTAATGGAAGACTTTTCAACTTTCCAAAATTTTATCACGACACTTTCTTTCTTTCTCTCTCTCTCTTTCTCTCTCTCTCTCTTCTTCTTCTTCTTCTTGTTCTCTCCCTCTGTCTTCTTCTTCTTCTACAACATTACATTTAAATTTTTATCTGTTTTTTATATCGGTCGATTACGGGCGACCCACGGCTTGGATGAGTGCGGGGTTGGCGGATCGATGGATTGGCATACCCTCCGGGAGTAAGGCGACCTAAGCTCCGACTGGCGACCACCTAACTGGAGATAGCGGTTCGCCGGCGCTGGTCCTCCAGTATGGCAAATCCGACATTATTTGAAGTTTATGTGTAGTTTTTAAGATTTTATGATGTGGGTTGAAAAAAATTGAATGGAAAATGAAGGGATGTTGCATCAACAATGGTGCTTGATTTTGCTGTAATAATGATTTGGAGTATGAAGAGTGAGAAATCGTTATGTATGGATAAATTAATATCATTCGCAATGTCGGATTTGCAGTATATTTTCGGTAAATATATACAATACATATACCAAATATTTTTCGATGGTTTATTTTATGTATATTAAATATATATTCAGTATATATTTAGTATATATTCGGTATACACATACATAGAATATATTCAGTATATATACAAAATATATACCGACATCATGACTTATTATTCAGTATATATTTAGTATATATTCAGTATATAACGCAAATTTTGTGGATCCATCTAGATTTCAAAAAAAAAATGAAAAGAAAATATATAAAAACATGAGACCTCCCAGAAAATATACTATATCCTACAGATAATAATAAACTTTTAATTTCAAACTACATATGGTTTAAATTTGAATTGAAGAATATCCATAGGATATACACTTACCATTATCATTATATTTTTTTCCAAAGAAAAAACGGCTGCTTTCCCGTGATTTAAGGAGAATGATCCTTGTTTGGTGGGTAACCAAAATATGGTATTATCACAAATTAATTGCATGCATTAGATATGTGTGAAATTAAATTACTCTTGTTAGTAATCTTGCAATAAAGAGTAAATCACTATGTAGGGATAAAATTTTCCCAATTTATATTGTTTAGTAAGGACTATGATATCTCATGTGCTGCGATTAAGCATTGTTCCCAAAATTGGCTTAGGCGCCCGCCTAGGTGTTATGCGTCGCCCCATCATCTCCAATTTGCATGAATCAGTTGAAAAAATCGGCTAGACAGCTCTTAGGTGGGCTCGGCAGCCAGACGACTGGGCGGCAAGATGAGAATCCGGGTTCTGCAACTACAAACACACGTGATCGAGCGCGACATGCACATACGGGGGAAGCAGCGCGAAGGTCTAAGCAGTCCGGAAAGAATTGCACGACCCATCAATGTTGCGCGAAATAGCGCATGGGTAGGCCGCACACGAGCGCTCCAACGACCACCGGAGCACGCACAAGTCTGCGCGAGGTTGCGCGAGAACACGCCAGGCCGAGGAGGAAGAGCCGTACTTTCTTGTCTATTTTGGTGTTATTAGGTCCATGATTCAAACGTTAGGGAGAATACCTGTCTGAGCTATCTGAACCATTGTCGAGTCGTCTGAGTTATCCGAGAGAGAGATAGTCAACCCTTGAGACCTGCCACACTCGCCGCAAAGCACAGTTCACAAGCCTGCGAGACACCGAGGAGGCGGACGTTGCACTCACCGCAAACCCCCGTCCGCGAGCATGCGAGAGAGCCCGCGAGACCCGTGCTCCAGGCGCACTCGCAGCGAACCCGATTCTACGAGACCGCAAGAGACCCGTGCGAGGCCTGCGAGACCCGTCCACGACACTGCACTCGCCCGCGAGTCCCATTCCGCGAGGTCGCGAGTCCAGGCCTGCCCATCATGCTACACTCGCCTCGAACAGTCGTTTGAGACCCCGCGAGTCGCCTGTGCATTAGCAGCCATACTCGCAGAGAACGCCAGTTCGCGAGGTCGCAAGTGCCAATTAGTAAATGTGTGTGAAATCAGTGTGTGTATCCTTGGGGTATAAATACATTTAGGGTCCGTTTGGTTAGGTTGATTAGGCTTGATATCACTCAATTTGTTATTGTATCAAAAGAATTAAGTTGTTTGGTTGAACACCTTATAGCCCTGAAAATTGAGCTTGGCCCGGTCCCTTATCCCGTCAAATGTTATTACCCTATGCCATTAAATTGGCAAGATAATATATCATTTTTATTTTCCTCTTCTACCCACCTTCTTTCTTCCTCTTCTCTTCTTTGTTGCTTGCCCATTTTCCTCCGCCAGACCAACGTCGTCAAGCTCTCCCACGGCAGCGACCACCACCACCACGGCGGCGACAACCACCACCAATCCTATCTCATCTGATTCCCCCTCAGCCAGATCTACCGCTGCCAGTTCCTTCCCTGACCCATGCCCATCGACTTCTTCTCCTTTGACGCCATCTCTGTCCGCTGGCGCCTCCCTCTACGTCGTCGCCGGCCAGCCACACGCCTTCCCAGACCCCATCGACTTCCGCTCCTTCGACCCCACATCTTGATGCTGGCGCCTCCTCCCTCAGACCCCGACCTGCCGCGCTTCCTCTTCCGCACCCTCCTCCATCGCCCACGGCGGCCACCGCCACCACTCCTCCTGTCGGGCTCACTTCCACTTTCCAGATCTCAAATTTCATTTCCCGATCTCAAATTTCCAATCTTAATTTCTGAATAATCAATTTTAATTGAAGGATAAAAAAGTGATTTCAATTTAAAAGATATGGTTACCAACTTAAACCAAACAAGATAATAGATTAATTGAATTGGTGGATAGCCTTTGATACAATCTTTTTGATTATATCATGCTCAATCCATTATTGTAACCAAACTCACCCTTACTCCATTGTGTTGGAGAGACCCAGACTTCATTTTCTCACTTTTCTATTTTGGGATTTAGCTATTTTCCTTTTTCTTTTTCTTTCTACTTATATGTTTGGGAGTTCTAAAACTTGACTTTTTCTGGCGATGCCATTTTTTATTAAAGTTTCGACCTTTTCACATAAGTTTCATCTGAGCTCGCAAAAGAAGAGTAAATATCTTGCTTTGGACTTGTTACTTTGATTTTTGGTCCTTCTTGCTTATGAAGTTATTCAAGGTGAAGTTGGTGTCTTGGCCGGAATTATGTGCTTAAACTCGGTTGTTAGATCTTTTTTATTTTTCTTGTTTGTCTACGTAAATTTAGGAGTTGAATTCGTGCTTATCTAGTGTTAAAGATTAAAACTTTCTTGAAAGTTTGATCATTTAGGTAGAAGTCTAGATTTAATGTCCTAAATTATTAGTGCTAGCATGCTTCTCATTGTTTTATTTTCCTTTTTATCGAGTCGAAGAGACTCTAGGTGACAGCATGTTTATAAGATGTGCTGAAATGACTTAAATTTGATATCCTTATGTATAGCTTTCATTTCATGATGCGTGAGGATGCCATTATTGGCTAATATCGGGCGAAGTTTTTACTAGGAATATTAGTTATTTTTTTATGATTTTTTGGTATTGGAGATACGATTCTTTCATGGTTTGTGCTACACTATTTTGTTGTACATACATGAGCACAATGTTAAAGTTGATGGATTGTGTTAGTAAGTTTTTGATATTCTCATGTTAGTGTTGTTTTCTTCTTTGCTCTTGCTTCTTGGTACATGGGGTTAATGATTTAAGACACTTTGTTCTTTTTTTATTGCTACATGGGGTTAATGAACACATAAAAAAAAAATAAAAAAATACACATGGATACCGCTTGATTAGAGAAATGTTATATTTTATCCAATGTTATAAGAACCGGACCGGACCGGTCGGTTCGACCGGTTCAACCGGGAACCGACTAGTATACCGGTCCAGATCAAGGGAATAAACCGCTAATAGGTTAAACCGGTAGAAACCCGTTCAAACCGATCGAGAACCGGGCGAACCGGTTCCCCGGAACCGGTTCTCGCGGGTTGCCGGTTCTTCTAAATCCCCATCAATTCAGTTTTTTCGGAATGAATACAAAACCAGAAAACTGAAAAAAATAATTAAAGAACCTTAAAAAAACACATAAAGATCGAAACGAGATTGAAGAACATTAATTTGTGAACTCTTCTCAAATTTGGTTGTAATCTCCCTTTCGCCTCGTTGCTCAACTGTGACCACACCCCAACACCAGTGCTCCCAGCCCGCATCCAACATCATAAAGCACAAACTAAGTGGCCAATAATAGAGATGAATTTTGCACAAAACAAAGAAGACGAAAAAAAAAAGGAGTGGGCGGCGATGGAATGAATTGTTATCCATCTAGCCCTAATTCTTTTTATTGTACATCATATATGGTTTGGACTATAAGGCTATGTTTGGTTCAACTGAGGGGAGGGGAGGGGAGGGATTTTAATGGAAGGAAGGGGAGGGGAGGGGAGGTGATGTAAAATAATTTTACCTTGTTTGGAGGGATTTTGTTGGAGGGGAGTGGAGGGAAAATGGTAAACCTTGTTTGGTTAGAATAATGGAAGGGAAGGAAAATATTGTAGAAATGACAATTATATCCTTAATGATGTAAGAAACAAAATAATAAAATAATTTATACATAAAGGATAATATAGTCATTTATGTGTTAAAAATTTTCCCTCCCCTCCAAATTCCTCCACTTTTGGAGGGGAGGAGATTTTCCCTTGGAGGAGGGATTTGAAGGGAAAATATCAATTCTTCCTCCTACAAAAAATTGAACCAAACAAGGGAAAATTATAAAATTCCCTCCCCTCCCCTCCCCTCCCCTCAGTTTCCATCGAACCAAACATAGGGTAAAGAGTTATATGGGCCTCTTTTACTTAAATTTGGGCTTTGTGGTTAGTTTTATATCACAGCTCTTTTATATTGGACCGGGTTTTAGTATTATTTAATTTCATAAAATTATTCTAATCTTATTTTACGTAAAGAAATTGAGTAGATTAAAAGTTTAGGTTGCAAAATAATTATTCAAAAACTTATTTCCCATATTATTACATAATTTATTCTTTTTTTATATGTTATTTTGAAAAACAAATATTTATATAGTTTGTGGTCGTTATGGGGACAAACAACATCGATTTTAAATATTTTACTTATAGTTATTAATAAACTTGTAAAATTAAATAAATATTGTTGAAACAGTTATCTTATTTGATAGGATACTTACGGTTAAACTCTTAAATTTTATTGAAAAAGTCATAAAAGTATTTAAGAATCTTGAATAATATCAATAAATAAAATATTTTATTTATAAAATTTTGAATTATAATCGTTTATAGAGCGCTCAACTTGAAAATTAATTGCTCAAATAAAATAATAATAATTATAATTAAAATTTCATGAACATTTTTATTAATAATTGAATGAAAAATTTAAATATTTTAAGTCTTATAATTAAAAAATTACGCAACTTGATATTAATCACGTAATGGTCACGTAAAGATTCGTTAACTCTATTAGCTTTGCGACCAAAATTTGAAAATACAAACCACTAAACAATGACGATTTTTGTGGGATCAAAATTCAATCCAATAAAACTAAGGTGCAATCTAATTCTAGTTCTAAATACAAGAGTTTATTTTTCTTAAATAATGATCTAGTTAAATGAATTCTTTGATTTTTCTAGTTTGTTAGATTATATATATATTCCACGTGTGCATGATTTGAGTAATATTTGAGGTATCTTCTCTTGATTAAAGTTATGTATGTATCTTGTAAATTATTTATTATATAAAATTTACCCCTCAACTAAGTTATCATGTTTTACAAAGATTTATCGTTTTGTTAAAAGATAGGTAAACAAATAGTTGAGAATATTTAGATCTTTTATAAGTATTTATTCTGTTGTTTTTGTTGTATAATTTTTTGTTTAAATAAATTTTATATATTAAAATCATTAAATATGATTACAATTTTATCATCGAACTTATATTAAAAATAAGGACGTTATTCAAAACAAAAATTCAATATCATTTCAAAACTTTATTGTTTGGGTTAATGTTGAGTTGATTTTTTAGAGATATGGAAGAAAACGGTTTGAGAGATATGTGAAAGAAACCAAATTCTTGAAGAATAATAGTGTGAATATTGTAGTTGATTTTTAAGAGATGTGGAATGTCAAATAAAAGGGTTTTTAGGTAAATATTAGTTATTAATAAAAAAAATATAAGATACGTTATATATTATGTTATTACTAATTTGCCATTAAAAATATACCAAAGTAAGGGTATATTAGTGACTTCTTTCTTTAACAAAAACACTCATCCTTTTATAGTAGTATTCTGAGTTACCATTTTAGTTAGCACAACATTTAGACATAGAATATAATAAAACATTTGGACTAAATATTACATAAGATTATTTTGTAGATATTGTTTACAAGAACCAATTTATTTTGGTGGACTTCTGTGGAAGAGTTATTTTTTTTTTTCAGCAGCTACTTAGCTAAGAGAATTATAACAATTTCTTCAAAGACCACCTCAATCTCCATCATTTTTAGTAAATTTAGAATTATTTGAGTCATACTTTGGGCGTGGATCGTAATAGTTTTCAATGTTATGCTAGTTTTCAATGTTACGTTGTTATTTATTTAATTAAATATTAATGATTAACTAAAAAATATAAGATTTGAAGATTATTAGTGTATTACTAATTTGTCATTAAAATTAAGTCAAAGTAAGGGTTTTTTAGGTAGTTCATTTGTTAATTAAAAATATAAATAAGATGAGTATTATTGTATTACTAATTTGCCATTAAAAATATGTCAAAGTAAGGATTTTTTAGGCAGATCATTATTTTTACAAAATCACTCGTCCTTTTATAATAGTATAGATAGACTAGTAAAGTGCACGTGCGATGCACGTGGTATCGAATGATTTTTGCTGAGTAAGTTTATAAAATAAATTAATTTATTTATTAAACATATCATTGCAGGAATCGAATAAAATATAGAACAAATGAATTCATATGTGATTTTTTTTATTTAGAATTAGAGTAATGATGTCCTAATATAAAAAGAGTGAAATAACGTTTTACAACCTCCAACTAAAATATATAAAAAAACAAATCCTTAATACAAAAAACCACTAAAATTTTCTTTCATCTTTCTTATAAGAAATATTCATACTCGCTGAAGTCTAATACATCAATACTATTGCAAAATTTCTCTTAATTCATTTGGCAAAACGTTAATTTTATTTAAACACTTAAGAAACATTCTGACCCAACATATAGTCAAACTTCATGATCGTATAATCTTTATAATAAGGTACTTCTACTAACAATGCATAAATATCTCTATAAAATAACTAACTATGTCATTAAAAATGCTGGTATTTTTTTTTATCATTATATAAACTACTACATTCCTCTGTCTCTAGACATATTGGTGTCTACCCCATTAATGCATCGCCCCACGAGGTGAGAATGAATTTTATCTCCAAATAAAAGTTGGCTTTCCAAAATTTTGGTTACATGTTTCCAAAATTTTGGTAACATGTACTTCTCCCGAGGTACTAAATTATTTTTTGAAATCATCATACATTACTTGAAAGTACCTCTAAAGTAATTGCACATATGTTCGAGTACAATATACCGATGAGATTATAAATATTTCTATAAAAAGTGACAACTTCA